GCCAAATTTAACTCACTTGTATAAAGACCCGATCCTGCGAGGATCCAACAAGGACACCTTTTGTTTTCATTGTGACTGTTCACAACCCGATCCTGCGAGGTTCCAACCTGGACACCTTTTGTTTTCATTGTGACTGTCTGTGAGTGTCAGACAACATGAAAAAAAAAAACCAAATCAACAATTTGTCTGTGCCAGTCAAAACAGTGACTGGTTGACTTTGCCCAAGGCGGCTTTTAGGCAGAGGAAGCAACGCCAAGGTCTGTCACCAGTTGTGCTCACAACTGCTGAAGACGACATAATGAGGCAGTTGTTAACAGCAGCAGCAAACAGGCAGAACTATCAGCAGACAACAAGTGACTTGTCTGGATTTATTCAGATTCAATCGTCTGTGCTCATCTGTCAGGAAAAAGAACCTGATTATCGTCCGTGCTGCATTTTAGCATTTTTATTTCACTCTCGTGTCAGTCCAGTGCTGGCATGTAGATGATAAGAAAGTATCAGTCGTCTGTGCAGTGATCAGGCTTTTGATCAGCCCCTTGTGAAAACTCACAGTCACAAAACAGAGCAATTATCTGCAGAGTGCACATGCATACACAGAAAAACAAGACCCATAATTCAAATGTCAGCAGCTGTCAACACGCCGATCTGTAATCAGCCAACTCCCAACTCGCATTAACACTGTGGACAAAATAACAGCATGGTACATCATGTAAGGCTTCACCCGTGTTTACACTGAAAACATGGCTGCAGATCGCACCGCCGCTGCAACAGCTCTCACAAGCACCTACAGGCCCCTCAGTGATTTAGAGCACTTTAATGGCGGGGAATGCAAGCCTTCTCTGATAAGCCCCTCACTCACAGGGGAATATGTGCACACACACAGTAGAGTCTACGACCAGTGCAGCGTGATAATCTCTGCGCTGTATCTCTAACTGACCTGGAACTTCACGGCGTTCACGAGTGACTCACACTAACCCTAACCCACTTCTGCAGCGATGCAGCGCAGCTGAATATTAGATCAGAACTGGTGAGGTCTGAAGGCTCCGCAGCAGGACGGTTCTTTTATGAAGGTTAATGTAGCAGCTAGGCTTTTTATGAGCACATGTGTGTAACCTCAGTTTGTTAGGAAGGCCAAATGAACACGCCGCACTATCAGTACTACGCTAAGATACTGTCTGGGTTTTTCTTCTCATCATCACTGGGTAAAGAATATTCCAGAGAAGTCGTTAGGTATTTGAGTCTGAATACTTTTTGAAATATAAATCAGGTAAACCAGTATATTGTGACTGTAATGGAATGAATCTGGAAACCATTCATGGACTCCCCACGGTGCAGCAACAACAACAAACCTAATGAGTTCTGGTAGAACCTACGCTTAGTTTAAACTTGTACGTGTCAACATCCAGGTGAAACACAGCGATGGCAGGTAAGGAATATTCCAGCCGTTATAATTTTTGTTATTCACAGTGATTCTCAAAAGAAGGTTTGGGGCCCTGGTCTTCAGAGGCTCACTGTTAAGGGTCCATAATATTTTTTTCAGATTGTTCTGTTAAAGTAATTACAAAATGTAATAAAGTCAAAAGGAGTAGACAAACAAACAATTTCTTCATTTTAATCGTACCAGGACAAAAACATGAGAGAAGCTCTGCTGTCATGGATTTAGGTTATATCCACCAGGACAAAGACATGAGAGAAGCTCTGCTGTCATGGATCTAGGCAGAAGAAATGGAAATGTAAGGCCTGGCTTTCATTTACATGATTTTGTAAGTATTTAAAGAAGGAGTCGGCAGAAAGTCAACATGTGATTTTCATTCTTACATATGGCAATGTATGTACGTGGCAAACTGACATACATTAGAAACACATTTTAAAAGTTTTTCTTCTAATTTGTGAAATGGTTCTCTGTTTAAAAACTCTTATTATTATTCGTAGGTGACGACCCACAACATTTAGCTTATGAATGAATAAAGGATGGATACAATATAAAGAATTATTCTAATATTTTTGAATTGCTTACCATTGGAATTAGCCCAGTAGGTGGCATATTATCTCACAGATCAGTGGACGCTCAGTGCTGTGCTACACAGGAAGGTTCACAGAAATCATAATCATGGTTTGTCCTGTTGTGATTAAACACAAGCTGAGACATGGATGTCACAGGCTGCAGTTCTTATCACAAGTCTAGCCTGTGGTGGAGGTTCAGGAGGTTAAGAAGAAAATTGATCCTGTGTAATCAACTGATTGACCTGCACAGTTGCATTTACAGCGTTACAGCAATAAAAAAATACATATTAATAGACAAATATATACATTGTATTTTCCTTTGTAGTCAAATAATCATCAAATATTTGAAATCTAATAAACTCACTTGCACATTTTTATAAGATGCTAACAAACCTCTTCAATTTTATTATGAGGACACTGAAGAAACACAACAGTGTTTTGTGGATCACTTTACTAATCGGAAATGTTTACATGACATGACCAAGCCCAGTAGTTGTTGCCCTAGTGGCAGATTACAATAACGAGTAAAAATGAATTCAGTATTTAATGGTCATTTGGTTCTATAACCTACCTCAAAGAGAAAATCTCCTTTAAAGTTCTGCACACTTTGTTGACCACCGGAATTTACCCTTCGGACCCCTGAGTGGAACCACATTTTTTCTTCAATGATTTCTGCGTTTGGGTGTGAGTAGGAATCACACAGATGGACAAGAAGATAAACAAATAAACATTCACAGAGAATCAGATGGACGAAGATAAACAAATAAACATTCACAGAGATAGAAACACAGACAGACTGACAGAGAGACAGGAAGAACTGACCAAACCAGACTAATTTACTTGTCAGATGCAAATGTCACCAGCCTCCAGCCTGAACCTTTTTAAGGTCACAGACCTTACGGTTTCACAAAGAAACACATGAGAAACAAAAACAGCAACACAAGCAGCGTTAGCGAAGCGTTTGTTTCTGCTGTGACGTTGTCTGGTGGTCGTTCACACCGGTACAAAGGTCGGCAACACCTCCACCACATCGCAGCTCTGAGAACCAGTCGGCCCGGCTACGGCTGAGGCTGAGGCTGCTGCCGCGGCCACTCACACACGTTACTTTACATCGTCAATGCTGAATAATCCGAGTAAAAAAAGTCGCGGTTCTCACCTCGCTCCGTTGGACATGTCTCTGCCGGAAAGCATTGGCCGTAAATTCATCAGGTAAAGGGCGAAGTGGAACAGAAAAGTTAGAGAGCAGCAGCGGAGCAGAGCTGAAGGCAGGCTGATGATTCAATAATCCATTGGCTTCAGCTCCTGACGTCATCGTTTTACCAGGGCAGGTAATGCGCAGGCGCTTTGTTGGGCTAGACGCAATGCAACCTGGGCAATGCAGTGCAGCAAGAAAAGCGGCCGCAGAGTCATAAACATCAGTGTCAGGTTTAACAGCTACTTAGCAGGACAAAGTTTAGTTAACATGTTATCCAGCCGTAAATCATTGCGGGTTCCAAGTCTTTATAGTTATCTGTTTGTTTTAGTAGTTTTCGCAACTAAATTAAAGGTATTTAACCCGTGGTATTTGAAAAAATGCATGTTTTTTCACTTACACTGTTGAAGTAGTAAGAATTATTATAAACAATACAAAAGGAAGAAAAAGAAATGTAAGAGTTTTTTGGTTAAAAAAAGAACTACAAACATACCCACCTTCAAGAGGCCAAAATAAATGTTGCTGACTGGAGTGTATAGCCTTCTGCAGTGAACTAAGTCCAGAACCTGGAGAAGTTGGTTATTAAGATGTTATTCTTGGTGTGGATTACTGCTCCATGTCTATCTCCCAAAGAATCAAAGAGCAACACTAGCCTTGCAGACATCAAACCTCCACAGGACGCTGCTTCACTTTCCCAGCTCGTTTCCCTGAAGGTCGTCACACTTCACGTCTCTTATCAGAATATTAAAGTTACGAATGTGAAAAAAAAACGTTTTGGTCAAACATCAGTGTCCAGAGCATGTTTACATGACATAAAGAGACTGTCTCAGGTTATTGTTTGATTGAATGGATACTTGGTAACTGTGTGTACATGTAAACAATCATGATCCATGTGTCAATGCCAAGGACTAATGACTGTAGATGAAGGCAGTAAAAATCTTATCTTATATTTGTTGATGTGTTGATTTCAGTTTTGATTTTCTCTGTGATCTAAGTCGGCAGTTCTTCTAGTAGCCATAATCATGTACTTATCAGCCGGAAACTAATAAAAGAAAGAGTAAAGGTCATGTGATCTTATCTTAACATTATAATTATGAAGTCATGCTGTTGGATTTTTTTCAAACTTAAAATAAATAAATGCCAATATTGTTTTTGTAGTTTTAGTTATTTTACCACAATCAAACACCCCTTGAAAAAAAACATGAAAAAATGTCAATTTGTACCCGTTTTATTTTATTTTTGACAATATGTTATGTCCTCGATATAGTGGATCAGAAAGTTAGTTCTCAGTGAAAGAATCTTTGTCTTTAAAACTCGTCACCGGTGTTGCTGAAAATTGACCAAATAAGCTGTTTTTTATTTCACTTTTTGCACAATGTCGCCGTCTTGTGGCCAAAAGGAGCACAGCCGACAGCACTCAGGTGTTTGACAATTGATATATACAGTATATGTTGCCTGTTTTTACAACCAGCACTTCTATCAATAATGATACTATTTTGGTGATGTTTTAATACAAATGTGATATGTGACAGTCAACATAAGTAGATGTCACTTAACTTTATTTTATAAAAGAAGGGGAAAAAAGCTTAGCTACCCCAGGTCAAGAAGCTACGTGTTGTATTTTAAATCACTACAGAACCTTTGACCTTTCAGCCTCTTTCGTCAACTAACTATAATCTCTTCGGCTGGATAGTATGCTAATAACCTACAAACACATGCTCCTTTCGCCAACTAACTATAATCTCTTCGGCTGTTCAGTATGCTAATAACCTACAAACACATGCTAATGAGACACTGAAAACGGTTGAACATGCCAGAGCTTCTGTTTTTATTGTTCACATTTACAGAACTGAATGTGTGAATACAGTGTCCATACAGAAAGCCCACTTTGTCCAAACAGGAAACAGACAAATAACATCTCCTCACACTTTGTACAGGTATAATCCTCAGTGAAACCTGGTTCACTAACACACTTGGCAAAAAACACTCATTCACCCAAAGGTTAAGAACAATCCGATGGACTCTAAATAATCATTAACAATGTGACAAAAATATGTGTGGTGTTGCTGGAACTGTGCACACCTGAACATTTGGCACAGCTGTCAATGTGAATGAGGCCAATTTCAGAACAATGTGCTGACAATTCACCTGAACAGATTGTTCCATAGCTTACTGTTTACATTTTTTATTTATTTTGAAATTGTGGACTGCGCTTTAGTTTGTTTTGCTGCCCTCATGAAGGTGATGCTGGCGGAGAATAAGAACAAAAACAGGATCACGGTTTAAATGGAGAAACAGTGTCAGCAGCACCATGGAGGTCCTGAGGTCAAGTGTTTCAAGTGGGCTTCATCACCACTATAGAAGAAGAAGAACCGCAGCATGTGACCAGAGAGTTACTTGGCAGCAGCAGAAGAAGAATATGAGGTTATTTATTTTTGTCCGATGGGTGAAAACCTTACAGATGATTATGGAGTTTGAGATGCTCGATCTAAAAATGTTTATTTAAAGAACAAAAAGTTTTTGAGGATCAGTTTTACAACAAGTGTTGAAACAGGTTGCCAGAAGTTTGAAGAACAAATTTATGGGATGTGCACTGGAGCTTGGGAATGGACGTGTGGAACAATCAAAAATTGAACTGAACTGAACATATTCAGAATCATTGTTAGTAAAACAAAACTCTAACTAATGATTTTGAAAACTGACATTTTCATGAACCTGTTTAATTACTGTCATTTAGTAAAATGACCTAAATTCATTTAATATCACTCTATGCAGAGCGTTTAAGATAATTATCTGAAGTTTTTAGACATAGATTTTAGAGACTTTATGTACACAGATTATCAATATATTTGGCAACATCTTTTGGTTAAGCAAATCAATCGTATCGCCTACTAATTTTTTTTTTTGGCTCAGATTATGAAAAATATATAAAGTCCATGTCAATATTTAGACCCCAGATTCAAACTGTTTAATGAAATATATATCTGGAGGAAAAACTGACCAAGAGTTTGATTTAAACGTATTCCTGTTATTGGCGCAGATCTGTAAACTGAACAGAACAGAAACTGAACTGGTAATGAAGTTTTTGAACAGCTGTAAATCCATCTTTGCTTTGATACACTGGCTCTGTGGAGAAGTTAATACTGATTTACTTTTTCTCTGTTCATATAAATCAATTTTCTGCTCCGTGACAATATAGGAGCCGTTGATCACAACTGATTATCTCACACCGCGTTAGTGTGTGGGGCTCACACGGGCGACTTGAGAACAGCGCCCGTTCACTCTTGTGTCGCCCACAGTGACAGGCTGACGGAGTAAATAACACACAGCGACTTCACCGTGTTTTTCTTTGGTAGTTATTCTACAGTTAAATCCAAACAGAAAGTTAAACAAAAATATTCTGGTAGTGTTTTTTTGTGACCAGATTGGTTTATAATAGACTTAAACTATAATCCGTTTTTTCTTTACCTTGCTGTTATTCCCATTCTTGGTGCTTGTATAGTCACCATATAGTGAAGTGCGTAGAACGGTGTAACCACAGGAATTATTAATTATCGAGAAGAATACGACTAAGGAAGCGTGAATACTTAAAGAAATACTGAGACGAATGTTAGAACTGAAGTTCTTCGCGTTGATGTCCGATGCAGAGCCGTCGATGAGTCAGGGTTGAACTAAGTGGGAAACTGAGGTGTGTGTCGGTGTGGAGTGCTAGTCTTCTGTAGTGTATCTAATGAGTCCAGGTTCAGGACCATGGCTTCAGAGAAAAGGTTGTAGAAAGAAGTGAGTGGCTGCAGGGAGCAGGTCCGCTCCTCTGGTCTCTGCACTTGGGTTTCACTCACGGCTCCAGTTATTCGCCACAGGTTGGCAGAGTGAGCGCCTACGCCAACGAGCGTTGGCGGGGCTTGATTCTTGGATAGAGCTGCAAAGGAAAAAAAAGGATTAAAATTAAATTTTAAAGCTAATGAGTGATGTTTTTCCTATATACTGTTGGGGATGAAAAAACATTTTTTGACAATTACCCCCAGCAGGTTGCGGGGCACGTAGCCCTCTTTGTCTTCCAGTTTTGCCCACCACCAATCGGTCTCGCTGTCGTCCTGTCGTCGCAGAATGGTGATGGGGTCACCCTCACCGAACGACAACTCGTCCTGGTTCTGAGCTTCATAATTCCACAGAGCGTACACTGTCCCCTTGTTCATAACACCCAACTTCTCCTGAACACCTGCAACAACAGGGTCCAGAACCGTCAGTGTCGGAACTTTAACGGACAGTTCCACGTCCAATCAAACGCCCTGTTGTTTCTTACCATACAGAAACTGGGAGCACTGGATGTAGCCTTCTTCCATTTCTTCACACTTGTCTGCTGCCGTCTCCACGTCACTAATGGTACTGGCAAAGATGGCTGCGCCCGACTCCACCAACAACTTGCAGAGATGAACGCTGTTACAGGAGGCGGCGCAGTGAAGAGGCGTCCTGGGAAAGAAAACAGGGTAAAAAATGTCACAGAAAACTCAAACGTGAGAGATCTTACTTCATTTGTAATTCCTGATCCAACTCGGACTCACCATCCGTCACTGTCTGCAGCGTTCACGTTCACACCAAAGTCCAGCAGGATTTTGACGATGTGGTGATGTCCGGCACACACTGCGTTGTGGAGTGGTGTGATGCCTTCATCGTTGGGGGTGCTTGGATTATCCACCTAGGAAAAAAAAGGAGATTTTTTTTTTAAAGATTCAAGAGCCAGCAAACAAAAATAAAAAACATGATCCAACTTACTTCATAGATGATTCTCTGGACAAGATCAAACTCTCCCTCCAAAGAGGAATCCAGCAGCAGGGCCAGTGGGTTGAACTTGACCCTGAAGCCGTGACCCGTGCGCTCAGACTCTGGTTTCTTCAGGTTGGTGCGTTTCTCCTGTGAGATAAATAATAAATTAATCCTGGAGTTTCTTAGTCAACATACCAGTACAGAATACTTCAATGATGTGTTTTTACCAAAGGCTGTGACACTGCTGACAGTCCGCTCTCCTCTGGACTGCTGACCTCTGGCACAGGACTTGGCAGCAAAGCCTCAGACGTTTCCACATTGTTGTTACTATCATGTTCCAGCTCCTCTTCTTCAGCAGCATCGTCCAGCCCCTCCGGTGGCGGTGGCAAAGGCTCGTTGTCATTATCATCAGTAGATAAAGGCAGAGCCTCGGAGCCCAGCTCTTCTGTAGCTGGTGGTGGCGGTGGCGGCGGCAGCATGTCAGAGGAGAGGTTGCCGTTGTCTGTGTCGCCCACGGAGTCACCTCCGAGATATCCAGGAGGATTAGCTGGCTGGAAAAACGGAGTTCCACTTCCAGCCCCGTTGCCTCCCGATCCACTGACTCCGTTCCCCTCGATGCCCCCTGCCAGAGTGTTGAACCTCTGGTAGAGCAGTTTCTGGATGTTGGGTCCACTGGGACCCTCGGGTTCTGTGATGGAACTGCGCTTCTTCAGTGGACGTGGGGCGTTGGCCAGCTTTTTTCGGAGCCCCTCGAGGTCAGCATCACTTTGGTAGCGCAGTGGGGAGTGGACCATGGGCGTCAACTTTGTGGGGCTGAGTGGCCTCGGGATGTTCTCCACACTGGGAGGAGGCGCCAAGGGCTCCTGTTGCTCATGATCATCAAATTCTCCATCCAGAGTGTCATCACCACCAGGATGGCCTTGGAACAATGGGAAGGCTCCTCCTGCCTGTACAAAGGGCAGTGGGGAGGGTGGGGTCGAGCTGGAGTGGAGAACAGGTTTCCCGTATACTGGAGACGAAAGGGAAAAGATGACACAGTCAAAATTGTTGAACATTCAGATGAGAGACCTAAAAAACCCATCAATTTAGGGTGCAAATTTTCAGCAAAAATTAAGATCAAAAACACTTACACAAGTTACACCTGTGTCTAACAAGGCTTCACTCACCAGCTTTAGGAGCAGGCTTAAATTGCTGGATCTTTGGCGCCCCCTGCTGGAGGTACATGTGATAGATGGAGCTGGAGTTCATAGTAGGCGGACCTTTGCGTGGAGACTGCGGCCGTGACCCTCCGTCGGGGATGAAAGGACGGA